TACCAATTTTAAATTATCAACATTTTGAGCAACAATTACTATTATCTCTTTTTAATGTATGTACGACTATTTGTTAATTATATGAAGAAAACAAATAAATTTTTATTGTATATGAACCTAGGAAAGGATACTACGAGTTCTTTTAGAAATAAATCTGATCTTTATTAGTGTCATAAAACAATGTTTGTTACGTAAAAAAAAAATCTGTCAATGACAAACAATATATTATAAAACTGCTCTATGCTTCTTGCACAATCACATACACGTATTATATGATATACGGGTCAATGTTTTGAAAATAAATCAAACCTTTTTTTTTTATTTTTAGGAGATACTTTAGTACTTATTGGTCAATCTTCAAACAAAAATTAAGATAAACGTATCATAAACATTGTAATGTCCAGTCATATTACGGAAAAGAATACCAATGATGTCTGCTGTAATTTGTGATAAATTATTATAAATTTGTATGACAAAAGCAGGGTATGATTTAGTGAAGTCTTGTGAATGGGTTCTCACTCTCTTCCTGGTGTAGAGGCATTTAATGTTAACATATTTTCTTCCTTGTTATAAACGATTTACATAAAAGATTCGATTGATTACCGAGATCTCAAGTTTCCGTGTCTTGCTGTAACAGATCTAGAATTGTCAATTTGTAAAATAAAGATACTAAAGTGTAACCATGATTTCATCCTTACTTACTTAAAGACCCATAAAAGCCTTTGGGCGAACAAGAATATTTTTTTGCTTTGAAAGATTATTGAATTCATCACTAATATTTCAGTCAAACTGATGCTGTTCTAAAACAAACAATATACCTTAGTATCATTCTACAAAATTGAACTTTATCCTGCATCAATAATAAATGTGGCATATTATGCCTTAACCCACAACCCGTCATTTTGTTCCAATCTTTTTTTCTTAAAAATATTTTAAAATATTTGAAATAGTAGTTGCAAATTTTGACGTTTTTGAATCTCTCATCTACTCTTCATGACATTGCTTTACATAACCATACCTTTCCAAGTTTATAACTCTTAAAAATCAATCGCAGAACGAAAATTACACTACAAAATACAAATATCTTTGATTGTAGAGCACAACTTGATGAAATAAATTTCCTTCCCCATTTTATGGAAAATCCATCAATTAATATTAAATCGTAATCTTTTTTTTTTTATACCGCAAAGTTTGCATGAATAAGCATATCACTCTTCACAGTTTAAAGGGTATCAAATCCACCTTTTTAGAGAAAGAAGGACGGACAGACAGAGAAAACACCGTAACGTAAACCCGTAAAGAATGAATCGTTTAAACGTCCAAATCTGGCCCCTCGATAATTTACAAAAAATTAAATTGAAGATTTTCTACATATTTTTGCCTCAATCTTTCCATCAAACATTGTGGTTTATTAATTTCTGTTTTTACTTCTATGCACTATAATTAGGTATTTATCTGATTAATATAGCAGGAGTACGTTGTTTACATCGATTTCTCATAGACTTTAGGCCACAGCCCGATTTTGCAAGCCCATTTTTTATATGAGCGCATGAATGTTTCAAGTTGTCGTAAATACGGTCAGTGTAAAGTGATGTACTAGTCATTTACATTCATGAAAGAAACTGAAACAGTCTTGTGCTCATTTGTTATTTTCCAAAAAGGTACAAAATCTTTATAGTAAAGGCACCTTATTTACAAATTTCAACCAGCCTTTTACCTCATGAATAACAAAGCCCTGAACATATATACATATTTACAATAATAATGAACGAGCACAGATTACAGGAGGACAGACAGTGTCAGTGATGATAAATATATACAGAGATTACAGGAGGACAGACAGTGTCAGTGATGATAAATATACACAATTTTCTCAAGAATACTGGATCAATATTTGTCAACAAATTTTAATATTTGGATGTACATAAGCGTCATACCATACCATTCTGATTTTTCCGTGTATATACTGTAAGAAAATTGTGATAATACGTTTGTATTAAGGAAAGGCCATAGTTTTTCGCTTCCGGTTTTAAATTTTATACACCGACTCTAGACTTCCGGTTATGACTCGGCTTTGGCGCAAAACATTCAGTCTGGCCATTTATCATAAATTTCGTGTGATTATATAAAAATACAAGAATGCCCCGGTCTAAAAAAGGAACGTTCGTGAAAGCTTCGTTCCTCCGGAGACTTGAGGGTCTAAGGAGAGCAAGAGAAGCCCGTGCGTTAAAAGGTAAACAGGGTAAGTGTCTGTATTAATAATTATTGTGTAAGCGTTCTGCTATGGACTGTTGGAATATGTAGCAAAAGATTCAATCATTTATTGTGTAAATATTAGATGTTGAAAATGATGGCCTATGCTTGGAGAATGATTCTTCCCCTGTTCTACGAAGTGTTGAGTGTCAAAGTGCAGAAAGTTCATGGCGTGTTGGAAGACGAATTGTTGAACTTGGCACTCTTGTAGATAATCTGAAAAGAGGTTGCGCCATGTGTGGGAATGCACTTCCGCTTGTTAACACTATAGGTGAAAGGAAATTTGGACTAGGGCAGGTATTTATTATTTTTTATAATATTGTCAATGACTTTGTATTTCAAAGATTTGTTTTTAAAGATGTTGTATACCCTTTACATTAATTTTTGACCAAATGCAGGTTCTTCAGATAAAATGCACACATTCCACCTGTGCCCATGTTAATGACATACCCACGGGCAGTAAGCATAGGGTTAAAGCAGATATGAAGCAATATGCTTGGGATGTCAACACAAAACTTGCTGCAGGTATAAATCAAAAATTTTATTTTGTAAATAAGCAGATAAGAATAAATTATTTCCAGTTATACAAAAGTTTACATCTGAAAGAACTATTTTGTTTTCATTTTATTTCTGTGATATCTTAGGTATGCTAAATGGTGGTTATGGAATAACTCATGTAAATGCATTACTGGCTGCACTGAATATCCCAGGGATCACAAACAGGAGTCTAAAAAGCAGAGAAAGAGAGGTTGGGGAACACCGAGAGGAAATGGCAGGGCAGAGTTGTAATAAAGTTCTTCAAGAAGAAATGAAACTGTAATTTTATATACCAAATATTGATATTTAAATTTTGCTTTGTATTTACATGTCATTTGTTAATATTTGCACATTTGTGTTAATTACTTTGTAGGAGTGATGGAGACATCACTGTGTCTTTTGATGGTGCCTGGCAGAAGAGAGGTACTGGTAGAGGATACAATAGTCTTACTGGTATGCCCTGGTGATAATGTTACATGTTTTGATTCTCCCTCCTCAAGAAGGATTGAGATTTCTTATAGAGTAACATATTTTAATACACATACATGTAGTTATGTACTAGCAGTATTTATCTTGTTACAGGTCATGCATCTCTAGTAGGAGAAAAAACTAAAAAGATAGTAAGTTTCTCTTCGAAGAGTAAAAAATGCAGAATCTGCTCAGCTGCATCAGGTAAAGGAGTTCCACCCAGAAAACACAACTGCCGAAGGAATTGGCATGGATCGGCAAAGGCAATGGAGCCAGCCATGGCCTGTGAAATGCTGAGTGCAATCCAAGATGAAGGGTGCAAGGTAACTTTTCATTGAATGTTTGATTCTTATTAGAGCAATGCCAAATATGTCTGTAAAGTTGACTACATTATATATTAAAACTTTGCTGTTTTAATTAAAGTACATATTTCCAATGTATTTTACAGATAGGAACTTTAGTCATGGACAATGACTCAACAACTATTGCCCATGTAAAAGCCACTGTGGACCCAACCATTAACAAAAGAGCTGACAAAAACCACACAAAAAAAGGTTTCACAGGAGCTTTGATTGAGCTTGCCAATACTCACAAAGTTTTGAAAAATCAAAAACTTAGAGGTCACATTGAAAGGTTTGTGTTTTTGAAGTGTAATATTTCAGTAAAATATCCCTTGATCAACTGTGGTCCAACAAAAACCTTGTTAATTGTAAGTGCGATAGCTAATTATAAAGAAGTATCTTTTCCTTCTTTGTTTTAGATGTTTTACATATTGTGTACAGCAAAACAGGGGCAAGGCTAAAGAGCTTGAAATTGAACTTGGCAAAATTGTTCCACATTTATATGGTAAGTGAATCAATAAAAAAGTCATTACAAAATTAGGAATGAAGAGTGAAAATATTTTAACTACGGTACTTTTTTTTTGAAGGTGAACACGAATACTGTGGAACTTGGTGCCAGAGTAAAAAGACTGACTATAAACCACGAAATTTGCCGTATGGAAAGCCTCTCTCCTGCACCTTACTTCGAGAAGCTTTAGAAGGTCTATTCGAAAAGTATTGCTGTAAGGCAGAAGAGCTAGTCATGATGGGGTCCACCCAAGTCAATGAGAATTTCAACCATATGGTCTCCACTAAAGCCCCCAAAAGATTGTAAGTACTTTGGTTTATTTCTCTTTGTTTAAAACAAAAATTCTAGGTATAATCTTTTAAATTGAGTCTGAAATATGAGATTCAAATTGCAAAAAAATGTGTTGTTAGGTTTTATGGAGGTTCAGAAAGTCTACATGCTAGACTCTCAGCCACTGTATGTCAAAAGAATATGGGTTATGGTTACATATCAGAGGTAGAAAAATGTGTTAAAAGTTTCAAGTTGATCATTTTTAAATTTGTTTTTCTCTACATTTATTGTTTGTTATGTTTTGTTTTCTTTCTTTTTTATGGCAAACCTAAGAAAGTTATGTTCACATGTGCTTAGTGTCCTAGAAGTTTATTTTGATTTTAATGGTTTTCCACAATAAATATTATAAACTATAAATACATGTAGCTTTTAAAAAAGATGTTTACAATCATGTTTATCTAAATAAACATGTACATAAAGTACATAAAGATATGGATTTACTAAGAAATTCACATTCAAAACTATAATCCCTGTTCTTATTAACCATTTGATTTGAATATGGAACACTCACAAAATTAAAAATTTACTGAAACATGAATTATATTTTACAGTTGAACAAGAAAATGGCATTGTCACCAGGCAATTTCACAATGAAACATACCATTAGACTTGCCAACAAGCTCAAACGGAAGCGTCTGATGCAGAGTTTACCCACCACAAAGAAACGTCGATTGGAATTAAAAGCTGCCAGGTTGTCTAAAGAAGCAGCGAGGAATGTACTAGAAGGTAGTGCTTCATTTAAAACAGAATTGAATGTAATGTTTTACTTTGATTTATTGTGTATTTTTCACACCTTTAGAGAAGCCATTGCTAGTGGAATTTCAGTATTATTTACTTGAATTTTGTTTGTAACAGGTCAATCATATAAGTCAGATATTGGTCTTGAGGAGGATGTTGATCTTGATGACATTGATCCAGAGCCTCTTAGGATTTCTCCAGAGAGCAGCTGCTTGATGTATTTTGATTTAGAAACTACTGGACTTAGTAAGATTTTTTTTTAGTTTACCTTTTCCCTACTAACAAATATAAATATTCTTTTATTTTCGAGTTTGGTATAAAATATAATTAATAATTTTGCTTTCAGGTAGAACATCTGACATCATACAGATTGCTGCAGTTTGTGAAGATAGGTCAATCAATGTTTATCTCAACCCCAGTGTACCAATCTGTAAAGAAGCATCGGCTGCAACAGGTCTCAGATATGACATGGGACAGCTCACTCTTTATGGAGAGCCTGTGCCTTAACAGATCAAGTCAGTGGTTTGACCCAGTTTGTAGACTTTACAACAGATTGTGCTTCAAAACCAGTCATTGTGGGCCATAATATTCAAAACTTTGATCTTCCAATTCTTCAATATCACTTGCAGCGACATGGTCTACTTAAACGATTTGATGAAAATGTTTTAGGTTTTTTGGATACATACAAACTTGCACAGAAAGTGTTTGACAAGAAAACAATGGGAAATTTTAAACAAGAAACATTGGTCAGATTGTGTTTAGGGAAAAGTTACGATGCACACAATGCTCTAGCTGATGTTTGTAGTTTACGAGAACTGTACGAGTCAAATTTAGCATTCAAATGTGAATCTTCAGATATATTTAATATGAATTATTATAATGTCAAGTCCTCACTAGTTCCATTGATACAAAGCAAAGTAATTTCTACACTGATCTCTAAAAGGCTTACAGCTAACAATCTAAGCTTAAACAAGCTAAAACTCATACATAAGCGTGACCCCCATTGTGGGATTCAGACTGTCTTTAGTGAGGTTGTGTCTGGTTCAAAGACACCAAGAATTACGAAGTCTCAGAAGATCATTGGCAAAGTTGTGGAGTATTTGAACTCTTGTTAGTTCACATCATAAGTATTTTCATTCAACAAAATTATTTGTTTATGAGCTATACTTGCTAGAATCTACATGTATGTTTGTTACACTACATTTATTCTCTTTATATGTATTAGATTATAAATTGTTAAGAATGTGTACTTGTATGTAAAAAAAAATTGTGAAAAAAAGGAAGGGGTTGCCCCCCCCCCCCCCCCCACCCACCATCACCCTACCCCTTATGTTCTAAGTGTCTAGAAGGACCAAAATTTCAGTATTTTTTAATATTCCATTTGTATTTCATTCTAAGACTGTATTTGTTTGTTACATGTTGATATTTTTCACAGTGTGTAAAATATAACTGTAAAACATGCTATTACCAAAGTGGGGGTAGGGGTATTTGAGATATGATTTAATAAAATATCTCTGGTCTACTATGATAAAATATGTTTTTTTGTTAACCTTAGATATAATTTTAGATATTTTTAAAGAAAAAATGGCATGTTAACAATATAAATTTTGGGACTTTTGAAAATAATGATATTTTGTGATTTTTTTTCTGATGGATTTGAGCAGTATAAATGTTAAATGTGCATGTTTTCAATTGAATATCTCGAAAAATTCTCTTTGTAGTTAATTATCTATTAGATTTAATGAATTATAGCACAATACAGTGTGCTTTGGTGCATATTTGAATAAAATATGAAATTATACATCCTTGTGTTAGAATTTGGCTGTTGAAGTTGGGGGTATATGTGCTCTATAGCACATAGTATGAAAATAAGCGTGCAAAGGTATGTGTAATATGGGTTTTTTTTGTTGGCTCAAGAGTTGTTTAAGATATTTAAATGAAAAAATAAATTGTTTGACAGAAAATTCTGATAGTATTTACCTACCTTAAGCAAATAAAGAATAATACAGATCTGATGACAGACGTGTCAAAAAATTAATATACCCCCTGTAATTTTTTGCATGGGGTATAATAATTGATCAGAAAAGTACCATAGCTGACATTTTTCATTAATCCAGTGTTAGTCATAGGATGTGAGAGACATATACTTGAATAAATTTTGTGACGCCGGTTGGAAATAAACCTTGAGCTAATATGATTTAATGGTTTTCATGACTGTGGTTTTTAACTCCGAGTCTTTAAAAATTATGTTCAATATTTTAACTAAATTTATCTTTTAAAAAAATTAAGTATGTATTAATGGTACAATATTATGATTGTGATTGAAGGCTGACAAAGTAATTTCCATATAAGTATAACTTTTTTAAGTGCATATTTATTGTAAACAACAAACCAGCTGGGGATGCGACCTCCATATTTATAAGATTATTACATGCACATTTAGCTGCCATTGCTCTCACATTGGAGTTTATTATTTTGAAACTGAATTATTTAACTAATTAACACGACATATCTATGTTACAATTGTTAAATCTATAGGAATAATTTCATTGATCAATATACATAGACATTTTTATAATGATTAATCCAACAATTAAGCATAGTCAAAACAAAAAAGAAAGATAAACTTCTTTTAAAAAAAAAAAAAAATATGTCAATGATAACACAATAGTAAATTGATGAGTTGATCTGAAAACTAAAAAAGGAGAGAAAAAAATATGTCAAAATAACGTTGTAGACTTTTTTCATGGACGTTGTAATTTCTAATACAAACACTGATATTTGCAGAAAAATGCAGAAACAGTTTTCACATTTACATTGTGTCTTCACTTCCCGCCACTTTTTCACCTGTTACTCCAGGTAAATTGAGGAGTATACTCGCGTAACACGGGTTAGTCACTCGTGTCAAAGATGTCTTGTTTTATTTACAACTCTAGTAACTCGTGTCGCTTAATCGAATATACCCTATACGACATCGTGTCTGGTGTCTCCGAGCTATCGATGGTCAAATCATTTTCAAATGGGTAACTGAAAATTCTGGGAGAAAACTTTTTTTGATTAAGATGTGTTATGATTTTGATTTACTTGTTAATAAACGCTATTTCAGTCGATTTTGTTTGATTTTTTTTCGGTATTTATCACTTTATATTGGAGGCCTGTAGCATATAGCTTGCACTTAACTCCTTCTGTCTCATTAATACAGAATTTCAAATTTAAATTACTGTGGGTATTTCCAATTGAGAAACCTTAAGGGAAAGAAAATTGAAATAAGGAGTGCTAAAAAGACCTGTATATCGGATGAAAAGTCACTGGATGAATACATTTACACAAAATGCACCCCTAATTTGAATAGAGGGAAGCTTCAGGTTTCATCTGACGACTCTGCAAATGCTAAAACTTTTTACATCGGCACAAAATCTTTTTTTTTTTCCAGATCAGATGTAAAAAAATTTCATGTTCGCAGGTATTTTTAAAACATAATGTTTAAAAGCAAGAAAATGCACTTGTATGGCCCTTTCACATGCCCGATCAACGTATTTTATCATTTATGTGATTTATCATTTATCTTACTACGGAGAGAGAGTTTGTTAAAATGAAAAAGTACACGAGTGGATTTCAACAATTATTGAATACCTAAACGAGGAAGATCATATTAACTTGTCTGGCATGAATAAACAGGATTTTCTTCAAAGCAATGCAATCTTGACTGTACAAAGTACACTGACACTGATGTTTCATTATCCACCAGCGATGATATTGACGTTTAATTTTCACTTTCTTAAAGATTTATTTTTTGTACACACAGTGTAGTTTTTTTTATCATAATTCAACCGCCTACCTGTTTTTGTTGTAGCACTCGGATTTTGAAATTTTATATATGCTATGAAATAAATTCTAATTATACATATATATATATATATATATCGGCGCAGCAAGAATTTCATCGGCATCGAAAGCAAGTTTTTTGACTTACCTAGATGGCCGAGCGGTCTAGCGCGCTGTTCCTATACTGCTAGGAGACAGATTCCGTAGGTCGAGAGTTGAACCTCGGGCTGGGGGGAAGTGGGTATACTTATAAAAGTGGATTTCTTTGTGCTTTCTATATATATATATATATATATATATATATATATATATATATATATATATATATATATATATCATCCATATTAAACGTCACGGGTATAGTTTCACATCCTCCCTTATCCCCACCGCACCAATACTTATATGGATTTAGAAAATGCAGAAACTGATATTTTTCTTTATCTGTTATAGTTTATGAATACTGTATTGAACCTTGCAGTATATATTATACCGTTTTTAAACAAGGCAGTGTAAAGTGCGAGGGGGCACTGTCTGTGATCACCCCCCCTCCCGTAATAGAGCGGATAGCCCAGAGATGCCGCAAACTTGTACAATGTACAGTCTTAATCACTATGCGTGCTGTGCATTTAAAGGGTTTGGATACCGGCCCGTACGCTTTAACATGGTAGCGAACAAGTATGCTGACTGGGAAGTCCTCACTTTAGCGCACTTCCCAGTGGCAAATCAAAGGGGGGCTCACCCGGCGCCCCCCCCCCCCCACTAAATCTGTCAAAGTTAACGTAAATCATAGTTTCGTCGAGAAAATGTAAAAATGTCTACTCGGTAGACCTCATTTTTACCCTACAAAAGCTCTAGAATCCAGGAGCTTCCGGGGGCTTCGCCCCCTGGGCCCCTACCAGGGCTTCGCCCTGGACCCACTTGGGGCCTCAAGGCGGCCCCGAGACCCCTTGCTTACGTTTTGCGCCCCCCTAACTTCAATTCCTGGATCCGCCCCTGCTTCCTCAAAGGACAAACAGATACGTCTGCACACCTGTCACTAACGAATCCGTTTTACACGGTCACTGTCAGTGCTCTGCTCACAAGATTCAAGCAGGGAAGTCCACACACCTTATCTTGTGCAGAAACAAGCTGAAATGTAGGCACACTTTATGGTCTATACAATGACCTTGTCGGTAAATACAACCTATCATTAAAAGCTGTCTGACGTTTTTCTAAAGCGTCTAAATCAGCTAGGTCATATCCTCGCAATGCCAGGAGTCCGGAGTCAATACGTTGTCCTAGACAACGTATTGACTCGGGTCCCCTGGCATTGCGAGGATGAAAGCAGGGATGACCAATCACTCTGAGAGTAATAAACAGGGATGACCGCATACTAGAACCGTATCGGACGATTTGCCAATGGAAACCTTGTATACCCAAACTATATGCATGATTCGTAGTTATCATTATATAAATAGATAGGAAAAATAATAATTTCCCATTAAACTGTAAAATCTTTAAATCAAGTAAGGAATGATATATACAATGATAATTGCATAATTTATTTTAAAAACAACATTACAGTCATTCTACGATAAATGGACCAATTCGTGGTATAAAACATGAAAAGAAAAAACAAGATGTGTTTGGAAACACAGATGCCCCCGTATGGCAACTTATAGCAAAGATTAAACTTTCTTAAA